GTGTGTGTGTGTGTGTGTGTGTGTGTGTGTGTGTGTGTGTGTGTGTGCTTGCGCATGTGTCTGGGCCCTCTTGCCAGAGGGAGAATCAGATATGAGTGGAACGCTGTGGGTTTGGGGAATAATGTACTTCACTGCCAATAAAACATGAATACACACATTCAGATCAGCCAACTCTTTGCACTGCACTGAGGCCCCAGGTAACGCACACTCACAGGAACATAGTTAGGGGAGTGTGTGTGTGAGTGTGTGTGTGTGTGTGTGTGTTTGGTGGTTAAAGGGGAAAAGAAAATCTGGAAAACACTGACGAGAGAGCCATTGAATAAAAAGATTGAGATAAATTGAAAGTTAATGAGAAAAGAGACAAAGGAAGATTTTAATAATATCCTTAAGTGCAAATTAAATATAAGTAGAAATGCAGTTTTTCTGAACTTTGACCAACTGTACTTGCCTGGTTGTGTGGACACAGTTAAGGTCTGAATGGTTTCTCATTTTTATATCAAAATTGCAGTTAAATAGTGCAGTTGTCTAAACGCAAGAGCCACAATTTGAATTGTTAAATGTATAATTTAACAGTTTCTTCTTCACAAGCTACAGAAAATGTAAGGACCACTGTTGCTGGTAAACTTTAGTTAATTTCTTACGTTGGCGAAACAACAACACCAACATTATTGGCCTTTTCTCCAGTTAATTCGAGAGGAGTGGGCTCTGTCTTTTTGCTGATCATATAAGACCAACCTAGTGGCAAGCGTTTTTGTGCACATGGTATAATGATGAAGGTGATCGCCGCACATCACTTTCAGACAGGTAGCTAGCTTGTAGCTCGGCAGTTGTGGAGAGTAAGCAGACAGCTGAGAGTTTTAATGGAATCCCTGTAGGTGAACTTTTATGCAGATGACACCGTGTTTTAAGCTCGTCAAGGCCCCCACGCTGGGACCTCCACAATTCAGAAACCCTGACATTTTGCAAAGCTAACGTTAGCTCAAACTGTTAAAGTGCCGAGCAGTCAACAGTCAGGCATTACATGCAGTCAGTTTGATACCAGAGCATTGTCGGACATGACCAGCGGTTTGTCATCATCGCCATAACTGGGCAGCTCAGCTGTTATCAGGAGATACGTCACTTTTGGATGTCATGATTGATTATTACTGAGTTATGTCAACAACTAAAAAGACAATTCTGATATGGTACGCTTGGCACATTTATGTATTTTTAAAATATAATATAGCCCACAAATGCATGCCTGTGGTGTGAAAATAAACCCAATATAAATTGCAATCTCCTCTTTGATCAGAAAAAGCTTCATACGATTTCCTCCTGAAATTGTTCAGGTGTGCTCATTCCTGGTTTAACCTCCCAATGAGTCATTTGAATAATCTGTCTGGTCTTGTTGTCTGTCTGTCCTGTTGCTATTTACCTGATCTCAGCCTTTAATTTGATGATTGAAACAATATCAGGGCAGTAAACTAAACATGTGGACGAAACATGGAACATAATAAATCCTTTCTGTGATACATGTTTTTCTAATGTCCCACAGCTTTGTTCACAGTTTCCAATAAATAAACCGCTGTCTTAGAAGCTCAGATTTATTAACCATGCCTTGTGTATGACAAATTGTTTCCCATACACACTGCAGCAGAATAAACAGGCCAATTAAGAAAAGAAAGGAACTCAGTAGAATTCATTGTCCTGCTTTCTGCTCGTCCCCTCCACACAGAAACATGAATGTAGCCACAAATTCACTGTGGAACCCTTCATCGTTCTTTTTTTTTACCTCGGCTGTCTCTCTTCCCACCACCACTAAAACAACAGCAGGAAAGCCAGAAAAGCGATCTTTCGGTGTGAGTGAAAACCAAGCATTGAAAAGGCCCTCGGTAACTTGAGTTTGTGTAAACTTGAATTTAGGATTGTCGGCCCCTGAAGGGCACATGAAGTTATTGCAGAAGGGGAAAGTAACATCAATATACACCAATAGAGCACACTGAATAATAACATCTACAAAATGCTTCACCTGCCTGGTCCCCTTACTGATGCAAACGACAAAGTCACATTTGTTTAATCAAACTTAATGTTTTCTGTTGTAATCCTTTTGCGATACCATTTGCCGCTTAGACTTGTGACACAATGATCGGTTTGTATCACAAATTAAGGAGAGGGAAAAAAAACGGGACAAATTGTTTGTTACTAAGGGAGGAGAGGCCAGCAGGGAGTGTGCATGCCTGAGTGATTGAGGCTGAGAATTAATGAAGATGCCTGCATGGCAGACTGGCAGTCAAAGTGATGTTTTTCCACTCCAGATCTACTGTAAACGCCAGCTTTTCATGTTACGGAGCCAAGCTAAACATGCACACACATACTGAGATAGAGTATCAGCTTGGCCAATTACTGCAGTCAACACAAGATATTTGCTCAGGTATACACTGCACTTAGTATTGCTTCAAATCTGCTCCGCCTTCACAATTTTGCTGGATGGCAAGTTCAGCAGCTGCTAAAACTCTTCTGTTATGATACAAACTGTACTTGGCCTGTCAGCTTTTACTCACAGTTCACAACACACTAAAATTGCGATAAAGCGAGTTCACCGAAGGTTTGATCTTGACTATTACTCACCAAACCTTCAGTGACCTCGCTTTATCGCTTTATGACATTTGCGTTTGTAACGCAAATGTCATTTTGTAATGATATGAGGAAATTACATTCAGAGCTGTTGTAAAAGGGTGGAGACAGAAATCTCACAGATGGATATCTCAAAACCGCAGCACACAAAGCTGAAGCTATTTGCATGGATAGGCACCACAAAAGGGTGCATTTGTAGCCAGTGAATCAATCTTATGAAAAAGCAAATTCAGACAGTGTGCGGAAAGCAGATTAAATCTGTCCAAATGGAAATGTTTTGGGCTTTGTTTCTCAGTTGGATCAGCACCGGTACATTTCCACATTTCAAAGGCTCATTATTCGTATCAAAAATGTTTCTAATTGGAATGTGTGTTAGGTCTAAGTGTCCATCATTGCTATTTTCACACCGGCGCAGCTGTCATGTTCATGCTACGTTGTGTAAGTAGCTATCTGTGCCCCTCTGCACGCTAGAGGCATTGTTGACACATTGATATCTTGAGGCGGCAGAAAGAGATTGCGCCTTTGACCAACAAAAACCTGGTCTAAAGTCAGTGGTGCAGTATTTTCCTGCTATTTAAAGGTAACGTTATTCAGATAACAAGATGTGGCAACACAGGCAGGTTCCCAATGCACGCAGGGACCTACACACAGGGACGTACACACGGGGACGTACACACGGGGACCTAGACACAGGGACCTAGACACGGGGACCTACACACGGGGACCTACACACAGGGACCTAGACACGGGGACCTAGACACGGGGACCTAGACACGGGGACCTACACACATGGAGCTACACGCAGGGATCGGTGCATTTGCCCACATGCACTCGAATGGAGCTGTTGATGGCACGGAGGATCAGGAGACTTGAGAGGCTCGGCTGCTCCTGTAGATGGTCCGCTCGCACTCTTTCACTTGGCGCACAAGCAGATACGTTCCCCTCGGCAGAAAACCTGCTCGCTTCTCAGATTTACTGATGAACTAACAACGCTCCAGGTGCAGGCGCACTTGGCTTTTAAAGGAAATTAGAGATGACACTCTAATTGGTTTAATTCATATAATGCCCAAAACACACCTATTAATGAAGAGACCACTTTAGACCCTTGCGCTTCACTTTGGGCTCAGATTACGAGCCGGTTGACGAGCAAACCTGGAGTCGGATACACCCTAAATGCCCTTGAGCTAAGTACTTTAGACCATGCACCATAGACCGTTTAAATAGGGGCCCTACATCTGTGTCTTGTTCTAGATATCTTCTTGAAACGCTTCTCTTTCTATTACTGTAGAGATATTAAAGTGGATTTGCTAATAGAGCGATTATTTGAATCGTGATAATAATAAAGTGTCAGAAAAATAAAACCGTTGAGCAGCTTCAGACGGCGTGCCAAAGTCTCCCCGGCCCAGTGTCTGCAGGATCCCAAACCTTGTACGGTCATGTTATTGTGATACTGTTGACTCCACTGTAAATGGCAGCGCCTAAATCACATTGATACAGACAATGCGGACACGTGGTATTTCTGCACGGTATTTGCAGTACGCGCATACCCGCTTTTAATGTTTTGTGTGATGTCTATGTGTTGCAGTGTTAGGCGTGCAGTACGGGCAGATGCAGTCCAATGTGACACTGGCCTGCGGGAAGTCACAAATCAGGTGAGGAAAGAAAACTGTTTCCTGTGTACGTTGAAGTTGTGTCTCTTTGTCTTCTAATGACGAAGAGGTATTTACAGCACAGTCATATGGGAGTTTGAAAGATTTTTTTTTTTAAATTATTATTACATTCAATAGTCATACGGGAAGAAACTCATCAAGACGTTGCAGTGATATCCATTTGTATAGCCATAGGATTCATCAGCCATCTGTGTTCATATAGTCAACAGATGAATTAAACTACTGTTTTGATGATGGTCTGACGGTCAACAACAGGAGATTACTTATCATGATACAAAGGGTTAACCAGTGCAAAAAAGGCTAAATGATCTGTTTTGAGAGATAGACGGTGTATTCTGTCATTTCAATGAAAACAAAAGTCAGTAAAAAACAAACACAAATTAGAGGTTATACAGTGAATTGCATTGTATTGTCAGCAAATCAGATAATAAGACAAACCCAGTAGTTAATTCACTCTTCTAACAGTTATTATCTAACAAAAGCTTGATAATTCTTATTCTCATGTGCCACAGACCGTTATTGTTTTCAAAACGTAGTATTGCAGATAAACTAACATGGCTGTTGGTTGTAGTCTCTTTGTGGGATTTGTTGTCGGTGAGAAATACAAAGAATAAACCAGCCGTTTTGTTCAAATGAAAGTTGTGATATGTAGATTTAGGTATTTCATTCCTATGATAATGTCCTTTAAAGCAGTATTTTCAAAACTGTTTTTTTTTTCTGGGGCCCCACTTTTTAAAATTGAAAAACCATGGAGACCCAATTAACATCAAGCATTATTGAGAGAAGAGCTCATTTGTGCACTTGGGAATTTGGAAACCAGCTCTTTAGAAGAGATGTACTTTTGATAAATCACAACTTTATCTTATGCATGTGTTATTGAGAAACATATATACACGTTAATTAATTTATGAATGAGACCAAATCAATGCATTGAGGTGGTTAACAGGCTCTTTTAGTTTTCCTCTCATCAATACAGAGCGTACACCAGCCTTTCATACTTTATTCAGAAGTCATAAGTAGGCTACAATTATTAGAACAATACAAACATCCAGGCTCCCTCATGTGGCTCAAATGCGTACTGCAGTATGGAAGGAAGGAATTCTCCAAATTGTCTCGTCTTTTGTGAACAACTGCTTTAAAGATCTCAGCTCTTGTTCAGGCACAATAACTAAACTCTTATGTGTTCTCCACCAGGGCGCCTATGGCGTGGCATCTCAACCACAGCTCAGCGCTGCCGTGGCACAAAGTGACCTCCGATGGAGCCTTAGTGCTGCTGCACGTCGACCACTCGGCGCAGGGCAACTACAGCTGCTATGACGCCCGGGGGCTCCTCCTCCACTCCGTCACACTCAGGCTGGGCCGTAAGTGTTGTCGTGCTGCGACTTGTCCTGGCTACGCAGCGCCTAATTTGGGAGTCATTACACTTTTAACACCTCTGCCATACTTTTAGTCTCTCGCTGCAGCCTTTAAAAAAAGGAACATGCGTACGTCCCTCGTGTGTTAGACAGCATCCCGGTCCCTCACAGTTGAGTTCAGTCTTTGGATAATTCAGCATAAAAGCATAGTATAATGTTTCTCCTACTCCCACATTCTCGTCTCTCTCTTTAGTTTGCCTTAACATATTCTCCTCCATGTCTCTTTCATCCCTCTAATTATATTTCTCTCTCCCCCTTTTACTTAATGAATGAGTTCCTCCTCTCAACATTTGATTCATGCCGGCTCTTCGGCTCCAACAAGGCGCCTTATTACAAAACGCAGACGATCAGAGCGGCACTGCCGGTCCTCAGAGGAAAGCGGTCTTGTCGCCCCTCTAATAGACAAAAGCCCTCCGCTTCCTGTAGCTGTCTCCAACAGGAAGCGGCTCCCTTAAGTGGGCTTCCTTTTTAAAGGGACGGGGACTTTTTTTTTCCACAGAACTGGCCAAGCCTCTCCTGAAATATTTTTGGTTCACAATAGGGACACCAGAGCACAGAGCTGTTCATTTAAGACCTGAGGACGAGACAGAGAAACATTTCAAATATTACATTTAATAGGTTCATTAAAACGTACTCCCTCTCTCTCCTGACAATACACTGTCTGACTCCCATCTCCCAGACCCCCCTGGGCTGCTGAGCGTTTCCTGTCAAGTGCCCAATCACACGCACGTTCGCTGCTCCTGGACGGAATCGGTGAAGACCTTCCTGCCAGCCAAGTACAACGCCTCCTTCAGGTAAGAGCGAGTTACTGCAAGCCAAACAGCAACGCCCAGGGTCACAATGGGCAACAGAGAATAAATATAGTGCATGTGCCACAGATGTTACGTTTTGAATGAGCTGCATGTAGCGTGAGTGGTATCCCGATGTGAACCCTGTCTGTGCTTCTCTGCTTCCATCTCTGGCCATGTGGCACTCAGTGGAAACTTTTCACCATAACACATCACAGCAGTGCTTCTCAAGTGAAGTGTCCAGCTGAGGAAACTCAAGCATTGGTGTCTTATTTCTTAGTGTTTCTGCAGTTCTCCGGCACACACTCGAGTTGTCTCTCACCTGACAGAATGCAACAATTTTTTTTCTTGTTTTTCTTTAAAGGGGCACCGGTCAGGAGTGGAGGCCATGCGTCCTGGATGTGGCCCGCAAGCTCTGCGACATCTATCATCCTGCCTTCTGGCAGACCATCCATACCCTGAGAATCACAGAGACCAACGCCCTGGGGTCTGAGACGACGGCCGCCCGCTTTAGGTTACACGAGCTATGTAAGATCACATTAAAACACACACACACACAGCAAAGGAGTGGTTCAAAAAATATGTTTTTCCTATTTTAGTGACACATTTCTATGATGTCTATGAAGCACTTGGTATTCATAGACATGAATATGGTATTTTCTTCCCCAAAGGTTGATCATTTTCACCATTATTTTTGCTTCCAGTGCTCCCACTCCCTGCTCTACTGAAACGAAGATGCATTTACTGTCCCGTCTTTTTCACATGTGCATGTTTTCATTAGACCCTTCCCTTTCTGTCCTCACATAATGACCTCAATTATCTTGTTTTGCTGCTCCTCTCTGTGCACATGGCGTTCTCGTCGCTCTATAGCGGAGGCCATCGCGCGGCGTCCTCGAGGCGGTCTTTGTAGTGGCTGCTGGAGTGCCTGCTGGATATCGCTCACCTCTTTTTTTTTTCCTCAACCTCCGCATACTGTTTTTAGTCACAGCGGTGCTTCAAATATGCTGCAAAACACAAGATTCCAAAAGTTGTGGATAGTTGTGTCAAAAGCGTGGTGATATATGCATAGAAAGAATGGTTATTTTCAATCAAAGCTGCAACGGTAGACCACTCATCAGATACGTTTTGGGGTTTTGGCTTTTTTGGTTTAATCTGCCCTCTCGTACTTGATTTCTTTCTTGTTGTCTTTTAAATAGTGTGCCAACCATACAGGAAATACTTGTGGCTCAATCTCTTTCTAATTTTCTTCTTCTTTTTTTATCTCTCCTTGTTTGCAGTGAAACCGGACCCTCCAGAGTCTCTGCTGGTGAAGGCCCTAGAGGGCCATCCAAAGAGGCTGATGGTCTCGTGGGACTTCCCTGCCTCCTGGCCGCTGCAGGATGCGTTCCCCCTCATGTTTCAGATCAGATACAGGCCACACGGCTCCGTGTACTGGTCCGAGGTTAGTGAGCGAGGCTCCGCTGTATACACTGTATACAGGTTGTATTAAAGAAAATAAAACTGTAGTTTCCCCACATTGTATAAGCAGTTGAAGCTAAACCTCGTGCAGATTTATTTACTTTACGACCTTATTTCTGAAACCCAAGCCAATCACAGTCAATGCTTCTAAAAACAAGGAACTACATGTCAAAACATGGGGCTGAAGTTAAATGAACTAATGGGACATCATGAGATACTTAAGTCTAACATGTAGTTTTGTTAAAACCTCGGTCAATAAAAATGAATGTGTTGGGCTGATCAGATGAGTGAGTGGTCATCTAATGTAAGCCTCTGTAACCTCTTTCTCCATCCCATCAGGTTTTCTCCGAGGAGAGTCCAGTCGTGATATTTGACGCCCTGGCTGGTCACCTCCACCAAGTTCAGATTCGAGCCCATGACGAGGTGAACTCTGACAGCCAGTGGAGTGAATGGAGTCCCCTGCTCCTCGCCAGGCCTTGGGAAGGTCAGAGAGAAAGATTAACAACAATGTTGATGTCTAAGACTAAAGTCAGTTTGTTTTTGGAGCACATTTAAAAGCAACAAAAGCGCTCCGCAGAGAGACGACACAATACAATCAGCATCATGGAGCAGCATCATAATGAAACTCAGTAAATACGATTGAGTCACGTTGGACTCTGTGTCAAATTAAGTTTTATTTATTGACTATTTTCTGAGGTTTTGTAAACCAAAAGATAAATCTCATAAAATAATAAAACAAAAGGTTCATCTATAAAATAAGCTGCATATTAATCGTTTCTCACTAGAATAATCCCTAAAACGTGTGTGTGATCGTTTGTACTGCAGTCTCCTCCACACCTGAATCTCCAGAGGAGCTCCAGCCAGAGGAAAGCTTTCCAGAATATTTCTTTCCCTTCAGCACAAAACCTGAAATCTCAACCGCAAAGTCCCACAGTAAGTTCTTTTTTGGGGTCTTTTCTGCCTTTATTTGACAGCACAACTGAAGACTGGAAGGGGGGGTGATTGGCAAAGGACCGCGGGTCGGATTCCAACCCGGGCAGCAGAGTTTCGCCGTTTCAAATGACGCATCAGTGATTGTATTCAGGCACAACATCAACACTGTATCTGTCTTTATGTTAGAATTTCAATGCCAAGACTTTTGCTGCTTCTTGCACCTCAGTTGTTTGTGCTACGATCACAGCTACTGCTGCTACATGCACCACTACTGCTGTTACGGTTACTGTAATTGACACTGCTTAGTCTGGTACATCCACTGCTACATTGCTATCACAACTAATGTGTTTACTACAGTCGCTATGAGCGCGTGTCCTCGTCCCTCCCTGGAATTAAATGCACGCATTGAAACTTTGTTTTTGTTAAAAACCAAAACATCCATCATCTCATTTTGAGGTGAAATGATGAACAAACGTCAGGTCGATGAAAGATCAGATCAGTTTTGAAACGCGTCTGTTTCCCGCTGGTTTGGCTTTCAAACAGCGGGACGAGTAGGTGTTTTTATTTGGCACCAACAAGAAGCCGTCATTGATGCAGCAATTATTTACTGTTATTATACTCTGGGTAGAGCAGTACAAGTACCTCGTGTCTGGCTTCTTGCCCAAATTACATATAACTGCAGTAAATTGTACCTGCGGGATATGATGTTCTCTACCTGGATGACAGGTTAAGTACATAGCAGCTCACATGTACACCGGCAAAAAAAAAAAAACACACACAGGAAAAAGCAGCCTGCAGTTCCTTGCAAGCGTGCGCATCAAAAATATACACATGCACGATATGTACAAATAGTATGCACGGGTAAACATGTGCCACCCGCTCAGTAGCATATACAAGCAGACAGATAGACACAGGCTGGAAGTCACCGTGACTGATGCCGTCAGATTTAAGATGGTTTGCTGTGAACCAGATGTCTTTTTCTGTGTGTGTGTGTGTGTGTGTGTGTGTGTGTGTGTGTGTGTGTCCACTATCATTTGCTTGTAAATCTTTGTGTTTTTGCACGTTTTATTGTTAATGCATGTCCATGCTTTTTTGTTGTTGTTGCTTTGTTTCACAGTTCACATTCAACAGCGTTGTGTCTTGTTTGTGTGTGTGAACGAGAGTTGTTTTCCCTCTCTCAGTATGATAAATGCGTGTTTGTATGAAAGCTGTAATGGCACATTTAAAATTAGCTTGTCACCACAGAGTAATTAAATCTGAGAACACACACGCACATGCAGACCGCTATTTATTTTTCTCTTTTTATTTTTGCCTCAGAAGCACAAAAATATATGAAATATGTATATTCACAGGTTTCAGAAGACAAAAACACAGCGAGGTGTGAACTGTGTCTGATTCAACTTCTTTTCCTTCTTATTTCTCAACTATATTTGCACACACACACACACACACACACACACACACACACACACACACACACACACACACACACACATCTGTTTCTTCTATCGTGAGTAGAAGAGTCAGCCTCTCTCTCTCTCTCTCTGTCTGTCTCTCTCTCTCTCTCTCTCTCTCCGTACCTTCCATGCAGCTTGTTGTGTTGACCCCCCCATGTTGTTTTTTTTCTTCTCATTCAGATTCTGTACATCCTGAGGATGAAGGTAATTTGGGTTTGGTGATTCTGCTGGTTTTGTTCTCCGTGGTCATCCTCACCACCGTCCTTTCCCTCATCTTTGTCGTGTGGTAAGACACATACACACACACACACACATCCCACATCCGCAAGCCACAGCTGTGTGGTCTGTCTTTGAGATTTAGTTGTTTTTTTTCCAAATCATGGCATTTTTTAAAGTTCTTTCTTGTTGTTCACATATTGTTTTGTATTTCCAGGGTGAGACAGAGGCGGCGCGATCATGTGACCAAACAGGAACTCACCTCTATGGTCAAGATGAAGTCCATGCCAATCTAATGTGAGACGCACATATACGCAGACATTGATCATCTTCTCTTTCTTCTCTGAAGCAGTTTGTGTCAGATTGAATTTATCTTGTTGCACTTGTGTTGTGAACATGTTGAGTTCTCACCGATGGCCACACACATGGCGGTTCATGTTCTTAGTCTAGCTTGTTTGGCAGATAGTTTTAGATCTCCGGATGGCGGCCGGCCTCCGTGGCAAAGATAATTAAAATACTAATGAGGTGTCACTTTTTTACGATTTATAAGAGTACCACAAAATGCCCTCCAACGGGAGCTAAGCCAGTGAGAATCGCAGAGCAAAGCTCTGCCTGAGTGAGAACCGGAATGGTTGAAAGTGCTGCTATAAACAACATTCGGACAGCCCTTTAGATAGCTAGCCAACATGTGATTATAAGCCCAACACACACACACACACACACACACACAGATTATAACCCTGCCTGTATATCTCTCATTCAGCTCTGTTATTTAAATCTGTACTTTTAAGGCAGGGCTTCATTACATTATGATTTATACTTCTCCTCTCTCCTCCCCTCTCCTTTCCTCTTTCCTCTCCTCAGGTTGATTTCAAGCATCTTGTCCTTGTCAGCCCGTTCTAGGGCTCCTCCCGAGAGTCAGCCTCTGTCTACCGCTGTATCAAGCTGACCGTCCGTATTCAACTACATTAACCAGAATGCATCTGCCAGGATCCAGGACAGGGATGAACCCATGCAGGGAACTTTGCGGAGTAGGGTAAAGTTACCCAGTATATAAGCTGACTGAAGGGTTTGTTTTGCAAGATTTCCTCGGACATATTCAACAACTGCACTACTACCCATAATGCATCAGCAGACTCGTTCCACTGTCCATGGGGACAGTTTCACTTCAGCAACATCACTGTGGTTCAATCCTCAGCGGCTGCATCGGGACATTTGAGTTCACTCACAACCAACGCTGCTTCAGGTGGACCGACTCCTCACCCTTTTATTTTGGAGGGGAGCAACATTTTTGGAACTTTTAAGCAACAAGTAAGAACAGGAAGTGCAGCTGCCAAACAGGAGAACACAGGCTTTTTTTCTTCTTTTTGTGGAAAGGGGAAGATTTTTTCTGGAGACGACTTTCCTCTCTCCTCCCACTCAGAACTCCTCACGCTCCTTTATTTTATTTTTTTTTAGATTCATGGGGAGGAGCGTCCGTTATTACACCGACCGACCGACTCAATGCTGTGAAGGAAGCATAACTGCCAGTCTCTGTGTGTGCATCTGATGCCAAAGCAGCAACTACGGGCATTACTGGTCTCAGCTGAGGGGGGCGGGAGGCAAACCCGCCACCGGCTCCTGACCTGAGGGGGTTGGACATGGAGATTAAGGTCCAGTGTGGGGGCGTGTCCGGGGTTGGGCTGTCTAGACTTTATTTCATTTTACGACAAGATTTTATGTTGCATGATGTGCTTGTTTTTGCCTGTCTGGCGTCTTTAGTATAGACAGTGTCTTGTGTTATACCTCTTTCTATCCATCCATCCACTGTTACTGAATGTGTGTGAATGACAGACACACATGGGGGAGAGAGAGAGCGAGAGAGAGACGGGCCTTTCACAAACCACCACATTATGACTTTACATAGATACTAAAGGGTGGCACTTTATCTTTGTGATTTGCACATAGTTAGATGGGGAAAATATGGTCATTTAAATGCATGTCCGTGTCCTCAGTAGGACTACAGCTTTACTAAACGATTGTTATCATGATCAATTGATCTGTGGGATCTTTTTTTTTTTTTCAGGTATTTTACTTACAAGGATATAAAAGCTACAAATCTTTACATTTGATGAGCCAGAGCTGGCAAATATTTGGCACTTGAATGATAAATGGCAAACAATCTATTATCAAAATTGTTGTTGATCGACTGAAACATGAATCAACTCTCAGCTCTAGGCCCCTGATACACCATTGAAGTTACCACACGCCAGTTTTAAACGTGATAAGACTTCAGTGTGTTCAATAAAAGCTGTTGGTCTGGGGTTGTGAGAGGAGCAGAGGACTACAGTAAGAGGCATATTTGAACTAGATACAAAAGCTTATTAAAGGTCACCTATACTAATAGGATTTTAAAAAGCAGGCTGTAGAATTATGGTAGGAACGCATAATAACAAGCTGGTTCATTGATATGATAAAAAAGGCCAGTTAAAACATGTATGAAGTCTCACAGACGGGCTGTAGGTGTGGGCCAGATGGGAATGGAAATGAACGCAGACAGTGCAGAAAGCTTACTAGAGCAACTCCACCGCTAACTCTGACATGGGTTCTGTTCACTCAGTGAGTGGGCTTTCACAATCACTGCCACCAGCCTCTATTTAATCAGAAGTGGACACGGCCTGTGGACAAACACTATGGGAACTGTGTTAGCAGCATATGTTCCTGAAGAACAGAGAAACAGTGTGCACCAGTGAGCTGGCCTGCTTCACCGCCTGGTTATCTCACTAAAGCCGAGTTAATGTATCTGAATCGGAGTTGCCGTCTGGTGGGTGTCAACGTGAGACGAGCACCAAGGCGACCGACTGACAAGAGCGACTCTCGCTCACTGCGCTCGTGTGTCACATCCCGCCGGTTGGTGGGAAATGAAGGATCTCTGGTGGCCGGTCCTCACTGCAGGAAAAGCCTGAAATACCTTTAGAAGAGTACATCTGGTTTAGTTTTGCTTTTGGGAGTCCTGTCTGCAGCTGATGGGAGTGAGGGGCTCTACTGGTGCTCACATTGGTCGGTGCGGTGCTTATGGAAGGCCATTTCTGCCAATGTGATGAAAACAAAAATCTCTTGTATTTCTTTGAAATGAGAAGCTTTCTCAAAATCATGACTTGAGTACTAAGTAAGTACTTTGGTATTTCATGATACTATGTCATGTTGCAATGTTTCTCAAAATGAGTCTTTGTTTTAAGAAAGTTTGTAATTATGGTGCATCACTTAGTCATTTTAAGATACTTAGTCATTATTTTAAGAAAACATAATAATGGGGGGGGCTTCAATAAGTATAGTTTTACTCATGTTCTGTTGATCCAAACTGTCTAGTCATCATCTATTTGACTGACTGACTGACTGACTGATTGGTTGATTGATTGTAGTTTTTATCAGAAACACAAGGTGCATCCAAGTGAAACTTTTTCCAGTTTGACAACTGTATGTTCTCAAGCTAGCTCCACATATTATGCATGGATCCAGTTGAAGCTTCTTTTTTTTAATACTATCTATATAACATTTTAGAAACTACATTTCATGTATGTCATCATATGATATGTTTATATGTACAAAAAAAACGATATAAGGGAAAGTTTGACAGACATGGTTGAACTCGGTCTTGTAATAATAGACAAATTAGCCGTTAATTGGAATTTTGCAACATCAAATGTGAAACCAAAAAGACAAAATATGGAAGATAATCTCAAGTAAAAATATTTTTTTACAAGAAATATAATCAGAAAAAATTTGAGAGCTTTTGAGGTTTGTGTAGCATAACGTTGTCATGTAAAATCCAAAAGTGAATGAAGAGAGATTACCCAGAAAGCTAGTATTAGTGACTGAGGACGATCCATGTCTGGAGAACCTTCCCAGCGTTGTGTATTTGTGTCTTTCTCCCCAGTTATATGAAGCTGTGTTACTGTACGATTACTGTATGGGCAATGTGTTTACTAAATATGTCTTCTTCGTACTTCCTTTACTTTAATGTTCCCTTTCAGTCATTTCCTTGCAGTCAGATCTTTATATGGCAACAATCACAAAGAAACAGTCTCTTTACAAATTCAAGTCATATTTGAGAGAAAGCTGATCTTTCACTTTCTGTTTGAATTGGAGTCAAATTTGTCACATGTCAGATACATATTTACATGCAGCCAAATGATCTCTCAACAAAATGTCAAAATTGAAATTATTCGCATAACTCATTTTTTTAAACTGGATTTGAAAATTGGTAATGGATGGGCCAGTAAATGAATGTAGGTGTTTAAAAAAAAAAATCATAATATTACCTCCAAATATGAAGTCACCAATCATTTCCTGTAATGCTTGTCAGTCCCAATAAGCTGTGTATTGAATGAGTCTGTCCATGCTGATAATGAGCCTGTTCCCTGCTCACACATTTGAACTAGCATGCTGTATATGCAGCATAACTGCACACATAATGGTAGTCATTTTTCATAATTGCTCGGTTTCACGGGTAACAAACTTCATATTTTTCCAATCTGAGCAGCAAAGTAAAAGTCAGAAATACATTTTTTTATGATACATTTTTTTAAAGCTGCTTCACTGAGTCACATTTTATAAACCCTCCATCAGACTGAGTTTTTTTGGGCCATACTTAGTGACTGTTTCCACCCTGTGTTCATGGTTCAAAGTGATTTGTTTTCTGCATGGTGTGTAATCATGGATTGCCATCTTTACGTCTCACACTAGTGGTGTTTTCTATGATTTTGTGGTATTATCATCAGTTTTTCTATGTTCCTCTGCAGTATGTGATGGCAGGCTTTAGTTCTTAAACCTCAAATTACACTCAGGCATCCATTCTAAGATGTATATAAAGATATATATATTATATATATTTTTGCTTTATGTGTATGACAAATATCACTATAAGCTGTTTTTTTTTCTTCCTTTCCTTGTATGTGTCTGTGAAATAAATACTATTTTATCACACTTTTAGCCTCTGACGTTTATTTTTTTCTTTCGTGTTGTCATCAGAAACAAATTTGTTGAACTGCTTCCTCTCTGTTTATTGGTCGGTTAAAGCGAATGAGTGACAATTACTCTGAGCAGATGAGCCAGTGGACGACACAATCTTTTTTTTATTCTTACTTTTCTTTAGAAAGCTTTCATATTGTCTTGTTGTGTCTGGGGAATCCCAAATGCTCTGGGCTGCTTTTGTCATGTTAAGATGTACAACTGAAAATGAAATTGCCTCGGTATTTTGACCCCACTTCCCACATCGCAAACATGGAGGTAAGAGGTACCATGCCCTCTACTGGTGGGGTTGTGGTGTACACATTCAGAACCATGGAGGCACAGTGGAGGGTTTGGTTTTAGCCCTGGGAACATGGAGGAAGTTGTCACTTTATGGAACTTTATTCAGTGGAATGGCAGCCCCGACTGCTGTAGTCAGGATATTCCCAATTAGCAGTAACAGTGCTCACATAAATACTCAGCAGCTGAAGTGCAGCAGCAGCACCACCCCTCTGAAGTCCTAATCAGTCAGGATAGGTCATCTTTACAGCAGCATTCACTGTGGCAATTGCAGGATTATTGGTACATTAAACTACTTTGTCTCAGTTTAAGATGTCGTCATTATGCAAAGAGATGCAGCAGGAAGATATGTTTCTTTCTACACTTTACTTATTTTAAGAAGTCAGTATACTATGTTGAATAAATGTCATAGTATGGTATGACAAAAAAAGTTACAGTATAGTATGTAGAATTTATTTTTTTAGAGTCACAGTATAGCATTCTGAAAAAAGTCAGTGTATGGTATGTCAAATAAAGTCATACAAAGTGATGTGTAGTATGTTGAAAAAAGTGAAAAAATGTCATAGTTTAGTACGTCAAAAGTAGTGAAAATAAATTCATACTATAGTATGTCACATTTTTGTATGTAAAAAAAGTAATGTTTTTGTATGCATAAGTATATCATGTCAAAAAAAAGTGAGAAAAAGTCATAGTTTCGTATGTTGAAAAAAGTTTTTACAAAAAAGTCATAGTATATTAAGTCGAAAGAAGTAATAGTATAATGTTTTAAAACTTTTTAAAACATTATTATACTATTACTTCTTCAAAGTGCTGTCCCATTCCACCGTTTCAAGCCCTCACAGTCGCTCACACTCAACCACTCAGGTGACGTCAGTAAGCCCCTGAGGGTTCAGGGTTTGAGGCTTTAGGGGGGACATTGGGATTGGGCCAAGAGCTTTGGGACAGCCGTCAATATGGCGGTGCAGAACAACTTCTGGTTCAAGCGAGGAGCGAGGAAATGACAAATAAGAGACTTGGGATGTACTCCTTGCATCTCTCTGTGCATCCCTGGTGGGAGGGACTAAGACGCAAGGAAAAGACACAAGTGAGGGAAACGGGGATGCAGTTTAGAGACTTGGGATGTACCGATGGACTACAGGAGCCGGGGATCGAACCGATCCTCTGATTGAAGATTGACTACCCCCTCTATCACTGAGTCACAGTCAACCCAAAAAAAGTAATGGTATAGTATGTCGAAAGAACAAAAAGTCGTAAAAAAAGGTTAGTATATAATGTCGAAAAAGTCATAGAATATTACGTCAAAAAAGTAATTAAAACGTCATTGTATCGTCAAAAAATCTAAAAAAGTCATAAAAGGTCACAGTATCGTATGTCCATGCTCATTTCTTATCAAACGTCATCGCAATCGACTGCAGTTGCAGTTTTTTTTGTTGTTTGACAATAAAGAACGACAGGAAATGTGGAAAAAGAGCAATTTGTGGGGATTATAGATGGTGCTGTGTATCGCAACATCCTAAATCTTGGTTTTGAGGGACTGCGGGAGAGAACTGTGTTTTTATATTGTGATTTTGTGCAACTAGTCGTATGATTACAGACAATACTCCTAAAAAATCCATAGAAAAATGAAATGTGCCTCCTACTCATGGTACCAGATAATGCAAAGCAGTCCTTTTATGTGAAGGATTTGATCAACATTTGGAAGAGAGAATCCCAAAGTAAGGCAAAATAGTAGATCTCTAACATCTGTTTTAAAAACAGATTTTTCCTCAAAAATACACAATATCCAGAAATCACAGTGGAGAACAATTTATTTGCATCTTGTACAAAGAAACTTCTCACCAAAACAGAGAATGTGAAAAATAAATACCCGAGAACAGTAGAACCAGTAGAATGTGGAGTGTACTTACAAAAATAAGTCAATGAAATCTATTTCTTTTTACATATCTGTAGACGGTCGCTTTTTGTTTTACGAAAATGACAAACCAAAAAGAACACCCTGCAGCCCACATTCCAACAGCTGAAATATGAAACTCTTTCATTCATGTTCCCATTTTCAAAAAAGTAAGGTACACCAACAAATGTAAACACAACAGAAAATCCAAACTACATCTGAATGTTAGCGTCATGCGTCTGACAGGCGGGGAACATGCAGAGGACTGCTGGAACACAGCTGAAATCAACTTCCTTACAAAGTGAGTTTGTTAGAGTTTTTATATTTAGGTACTGATGAACTTTTTGTACATAATCAATATTTGAGAATGAAACCAGTGAATTTTCTACTGATGATTTGAATTGAACAACCCAGCCATGTTTTGAGTTCATTTTGATATAATAAAATTTACAAAGATTGAGATTAACGGCAAGTGTGAAGTGAGGTGGTCTTTCTTTTTCTTATTTGCTGACAATCATATTTCTTAAATCTTATCTGAGATACTGTTTGTGGGTGGCACAGGAAGTAACATCATTACAGCAGCAAACCCCCTAAATACAGAAAATACAGAAAAAAACTGAGCTCTAAAATCATACATTTCATTCTCTAAAATTATGTTTTTGCCCTGCAAGCAATTGCAAATACAGATAATTATCATATAAACATAAACAAGAAAAAAACTGTTAATATATAAATAATCTCATAGTATTTATGTGAATCAAACAAAAGCTACGATCACATCCAAAGACCCCTCCTCTGCAGTTACAGCATGTGTCATAACCAGGTAATATGTCAAGAGCCAGCGTGGGATATGTTCAAATACTAACATGGAAAATCCCTCCATATGAAAGAACTGTCAGCAAAGCTCCTCCAAATTAAAACCAAAGCTGCAAAATCAGAGAACTTGGTCAAATATACAAGGAACCAGCGAGTCTTTGAGTGTGCATCTAAAACCTGAAAGAGATTCAAATGAGTCCTGTGCCGAAAACGCCTTCAAACTTAAGTCTTCGGGGGCCAAATCTCACCGTTTGGACTTAAAGGCTATACGACGCTTTTGTGTAACTGGACGACGGCGAAAAAACACACCAAAAAATGTACTTCAGGCTATTTAAAGCTTATTTTAACAGCAACTACAGGTTTAGAAAAAGGTCAAATGTCACCTCACCCACGCGCTGTGAGTGTAGAGACGTTATGTCATGATTTGTATTGAGAGAATGTCTGGAGTGTGAGGGTTTAGACTTTGGTGACACTGTTTGTTTGCTCCGGCAGCAGCTGGTCGTCGTCTTCGTCGTCCACACTCAGGTCCAACCTCAGGTTGTCCAGGGTCTGACGGATCGTCAGGGTGTCCTTACGCCTGACAGAGAGACAGACAGAGACTTAATTTGTGCCATGATGATCATAATGCGACTGTGAACAACACTTGTGTATGTGTGTGTATGTGTGCCTTGAATGTGTAGGAAACTGATCTGCCACGGCTTAGAGGAGTCACTAAACGAAAATCTATGAAGATCCACAACAAAGCGATTGCTCATGGCTACCTGTCTATTTATTTGTGTGCGCATGTGTGTGTGTGTGTATTTAGAGTACGTACTTCGTCACGTGTTGGTCGAGCAGCTGCCTCTGCAGCCGGCCGCTCGTCTCCCTCTCCTCGGCCAGCTCTCTCTGGGTGTGGCGGTACTGCGCATCCTTCCTGCTCGCCTCCTCCTCCGACTCGTTCAGCTGACGCTTCAGAGAGCGCATCCTCTGAGTCATCTGGGGGACCAATCACAGAGCCACGCTTAGGGGTTGGACAGACGGACACGTTCACAGTGACAACCGAGACATGAAAACACCTAGGGGGCGTTACCGCCGACGTTTTTCCAAAAATGTCCGCAAATGCTGTTCATAAACAGTGTATAGAATGTCTATGGTACAAACATTAACGACGCTGCCCTATTTACGTCCATATGGCGTTATTTATCGAAATAATGTTGATGGAGCAGCTACAATGTTTGAAACGCTTAGTGCCGATCGATCCAGAAAGTTCAAGTGGTTGAAATACACGATAGGAACAAACGGCTCAGACTGTTGTGTGACGCTGCCTTCATGTAGGGGAGAGTGTGTGTGTGTGTGAGTGTTACCAGGTCTTTCTGCTCCGTTGCTATCCTGTGTTCCTCTTCCATCTGATCGCTCAGCTCGTTAATCCTCCTCTCCAGTTTACCGATGGTGTTCGTCAGAACAGACTTGTTCCTGCACAAAACAGACACATCCGCACATCAGCCGGTTAGCTGCTACGGTTACATGTTGTTTGCATCACAGCAGACCGTTTTGTATATTAGCAGCCTTTGGAAACTTGCTTCAGGAGACTAATCAGTCACACAAGTTTATAAACTCAGAACTGAATGTTTTATTGTTTCCCCTTGTTCCAAGTCAAACCTTCTGAACCGCAGGTAAGAAAGGAACCTTAGAATACAGACAGAAGGCCTCAGGAACATGTTCTTTGAACATAACTTGACGAAAGCATTCCTGAGTTCATTTACAAGACTAGACCGCACGTACGGACAAACCAAAAAAACGCCATGTGATACACTGTAATACGCTGCTTTAATGTGTATTTAAAAAGTCCTGTGATACACTGCAACACGCTGCTTTAATGTGTATTTAAAAAGTCATGTGATACACTGCAACACGCTGCTTTAATGTGTATTTAAAAAGTCCTGTGATACACTGCAACACGCTGCTTTAATGTGTATTTAAAAAGTCCTGTGACTGACCTCTCCTCTGTCCTCAGCGTGTTCTCCAGCTCTTTGACTCTGCTCTCCGCTCTGGTGATGACATCCTCCTGAACTCTGGAGCTTTGAAGATCCTCCACCTCCATACGCAGCTCACGCAGCTACACAGAGAGAGAGAGATGTTTATTGGATATTAGCTGGTGGATGGGAAGAGTACTTTTAAATGCAAACTAAAGGCCGGCCTTTTCACTCAAGCCTTTTCTTAAATGAACACACAGTATTTGTACGGTACGCTCGTTTGTTTTTATGTGAAGTACTGTAGAACTGCTTTCGTACAGCATGGCGCTATACAAATACATTTGAATCATCTTACAAGCTTGATTTATCGTTGTTATCTAACTTTGTTAAAATGTAGACTTGAAAGTGAAAGTGAAGTGAAAACACACACACACACACAATACCTGTCTCTCCATGCCGATCTTCTCCATTTCCAGCTGGTCGGTCAGATCCTTCTCCTGGATCACCTTCAGCTGCAGCTGCTCAATCTGACAGCAGAACACACGGATACAAGTCTTAGTAACCAGCCGAACAAAGTCAGACAGAAATCGATGAAATGGACGTCAAGCAAATGGCTGGTAAAGTTAGCTGACTTCCTGTTTCCAGCGTGTTCACCTGCTCAATGGCTCTCTTGTGTTTGCTGGCCCATCTCTGCTCGCTGTCCTGCAGCTCCTCCAGATCACTCTCCAGGTCGATGATCTTCTCCTGCGAGCGCACAAAAACAATAACTCATCAGCTCACCTTCTGATCTGAGGTCAACTGTCTGCCGTCTCATCAGCAGAACACATTCAGGTTATTTAGAAACAGCACAGATTAAGTATCTTCAGAAATAGCGACAGGATGAATATTTAGGATTATGGAATTAGCGCGCCGATTGCTTGAATAGGATTTGCATAATTAATACCTCATTAACCCCAAACTCTGATGGTTTGCGTGGCTGATTAATTCAAGTGGACATCTCTGTTTGAATCATAAGGTCACGCATGCAGACGCACCGTGGATACTGTTTGAACTACAGCTGGAAATTGGAAGAGTTCACTTCACAGAAGAAACCTTCTGGGAAAAAGAGGTGCTATTTTTAAGATTGGATAGCAGTCTGACATCCCATACAAGTTAATACTAATTCATGTTTTTGTGATATTCTATATCTTTTTTTTTTATAGTCAACAAATCCCATGAAAAGACACAAACCAACAATGAATGTACACTAACAAGTATTGCAGGTGTATTATGTCTGATATCTGTTAAAACAAATCAAAAAGCCACACTGTTGCACTGGGTGACATGTTCCTTCATTACTATGAACACACACACACACACACACACACACACACTGTAGTATATTTTGACTCAGTCCCACATTCACTGTCTTGCTGCTGTAAATGCCCGCTGGAGCACTAAATGTGAATTAATCTGCAGATGAAAATAGTCCTTCACAAATGCACGATTTTACCCCTGTTTGAATATTCTTTGTAAAAACAAAAGTACAGTGCCCAGCTGATCTGGGAAATAAAAAATACTTCAGTCTTCAGTAGGAACCAATGGGCTGGCAGTCACAAACAGGGGAATGTCAAAAAGCACGGACCACCAGTCCTATCTTTGAAATCAATGGGTATCGACATTCTCCGAGTCCCGAGTCATGATCATAGGTGCATATGTCTTGCCATTGAAACTTCAAAGCCTATCAAATGATTTCAACCAGTACCTGAGCCAGCTTCACTTGTTTGGCCAGGTCCTCTCTGGCCTGGTTGGTGTTCTGCAGCTCCATGTGGAGGTCGTCCACCGCCCTCTCCGCTTGCTTACACTGCAGCTGTATCCTCTCCCTCAGCTGGATCTCCTCCTCCAGCGTCTGCTCCTTATCAATCAGCTTATCAGAGACCTGCACACACACACGTACAAAACAACTTATAAACATTTAACATGCTGGTGTGAGTTGGTCACATTTATTAGTATTGGACATGGGGGGGAGCGTACCTCTCCCTGCACTCTGCCGACGAGGATCTGCAGTCTCTGCAGCTCCTGCTCCTTCTCCAGCAGAGACTCCTCCAGCTCCTCCACCCTCAGCTGGCTGTCGTTGCGCAGCTTCAGCTGCAGGCTCAGTTCAGCTGTGGCCTGTGTGGACACCTGCACGGCCTCGTCCAGCTGGAAACACACACACACACACACACACACGGGAACATACGGTTAGTAGGTACGTACACACATCTGTGCTTACCAGGCTCTACCAGGGCAGCTCTGAATACGTGTCACTTAAGGGAAGGCATCCTTTATACTGGGAGTGTTGGGATATTCAGGTCTGTTATCAACCTCTTATTGGTGATCAGAGGCAGGTTTAACTTTGCATTTGGGGTTCTGATTTTGCAAACACAAAAATAAGAGCATTTAGTGAGTAGTGAAAAAATAATCTCAAGATCCCTCTGTTACAAGTATTGATTCCGTGTTTTTGTGTTGTTCTAAGAGTCCAATAATACATAGCAAGGCAGGTGGAGAGGAAGATACTAAGACAAACAGCTACATGTATGTCCAATAAATTGCAAGAGTAACCTCGATATTGTTTTAGTCGGAGCACAGCGAGCCTCCTCTCTCAGTCTGAATAAGTCTGTGTACCTCCAACTCCATTCTGAGGATGGTGCTGCTGAGTTCTGATGACCTCTTGTCTCTGCTGCCTTTGTGGACCTCCAGCTCCTCCAGCTGTCTCTCTGCCAGCCACAACTTCTCAGACAGCGACTGGTTTTGCTGCGTCTCCTTCTCCAGGTTCTCCTGAACACAACACACACACACACACACACACACACACACACATAGTTCAGACCTCTGCCTCCTCACACAATGTGTGTGTCTTAATGCCGGACAGAAAACTCTCTCAACTGCATTCCCCTGTTGATAAATGAAACCAGGCATCATGTTGATTTCTGTTTTTTTTAAGATGTCAGAAGCTGCTGCGTACCTCAGCGTCATTGATCTTGTTTTTGAGGGACTGCTGGAGAAAATTGAAGGCGTACTCCTGAGTGTTGGCCTCCACCATCATGTCCCGGGCCTGCTTCACCTCGATCTGCACAGCGCAAGAGAAGAGTCAGTGATGAAAACAAAACCATGGATACCTACAGTATAATGACAGCAATCCATCCTCCCGCTCACACCTCCATCTCCCTGTATCTCTCTCCCACGGATTGGTTCTCCCTCTCCATCTCTATCATCTGCTCCTTCATCCTCTTCATCTCATTGGTCAGCTGAGCGTTGGTCCTCAGCAGGTCCTCGTTGTTCACCAGCAGGCCGCGCATCTCAAACCTGCACGGGGAGACGGTTATCAGACAGAGATTAAAGAGAGGGGAGGGAAGCCACGGAGCCACTAGCTGAGAACCTGTGAGTACACTTAGACATCACTTAGGGGTGTGGTTAGGGAGCAAATTCAATGAGTAAAAGAGCCAGTCAAAGAAAGCTTTATAGCTCAGTGTTAAAGTCCCAGAGAAACAGAAGTTAGAGCGTCCTCAGCTTCTGTAATCATTCAATTGGACTGCTGAAAAGTGTAGGTACGCGTTTAGATTGGTTGAAATTGGTTGGTACTCACTTACATAAGCACACATCATATTATATTTTACAGGAACAAAAGATAATTGAATTTTGGCATAAACATACTACGAAATTACAATTTGATGTGACAATAGATGCTATTGTTTGAGTATTGAGTTTTTAAAAAAAAAAGGCATTTTTCACTGCATCTCGACTTCAAGTTCCTCTCTGGGGGCCTTTTGAAGAGCGACACCAGCTTCATCCAAATTGTTCAAGCAGTAGCTCAGCTGAAAAGCATCATTTCACCAACCTCTTCTGCCAAGCCGATACACACAACCGCACCCACCAGTGATGTCACAGTGTACTGACACACTCTACTTCACTGAGGCGAGGTGACAAATTCAACCAGTGGAGGTTATCAAAAACAAGATTCACAGCTTGTGTTAAGTTGCTCTTTAAAGACAGTTTCATAAAAAAGAGAAAAAAGTAAACGAAAGGCGAAGAAAAGCAGAAGAAGAGCAGCAAGATGAACCAAAGAGAAACCAAGCAACCACAGAGGGACATAACATCATGTCTGACCTTATCTGGTTCCTCTCCTTCTCCATCTCCACACTCTCTGCCTCTAGGAACTGGTTACGCTGGAGAGAACACACACACACACACACACATCATCAAAATAAATTCTTATTTGTGGTAACAAACCACATTCTCAGGACACGTGTATCCCAAAATGAATCCGGTGAGGCCTACCTTCCGGCAGCCGTCCATCTGTTTAGTCAACTCCTCGATGTAGTCTTTTTTATTCGGCGTTCCCAGAGTGGCAGAGCGCATACTGTAGTGGGTGGAGGGGGCCACCTGTAGCTACAAAAACACATATTGAAATATGGAACATTATGTAGACGATATGGGTAATGGAGAGCGTGTTTTCTGTGTGTGTGTGTGAGTAAACTTACAGTGGAGTTGACCTCGCCCCTCCTCTTCACCAGAGAGTCGTAGGCGGAGAAACGGGGTCGGGGATTGTTGTGGGAGGACGAGCCCACTGGACTGGTGCTGCGATTGTTGAAGCCGTACATCTCTGAGGTGGTAGGAGACAGTCCACTGGAAACCTGGAGATGAGAGGGGGGGGAGATAGGGGAATGATTTCCCTGCAAGCTCAATTGTTTACGGAAGCCCTGAGAGGCAAATATGAGAAGAAACAAGAATCCTGGTGAATCGTTTTCTAAGTCGGATCTAAGTTATGCCAGGTTAATCTTTCTTGTTTCCTTATTATTTGTTTGACATGAAAAAAAACATTTTTGTTAGGACCATTTTTATAAGTTATGCTTTTTATTTCTGCTAGTTATGCTGTGAGAACAAGTGAAAAATTCCATTAATGCTTTCAGCAACTACGCTTTTGGTTCAGCTACTTGTGACCGAAATGAGTATTACAACAACTTCTTTTTTTTAGTTCAAATTCTGAGTATTTGAAGGTGTTTGTTTTAATGCAAATTGTACTGGCTGTTTAGGTATTTATTTATTATGTTAATCTGACATTAAAAGTATGAATAAAACATAAAACTGATGACAAACAAAACAAATCCATATGAGATAAAGAAATAAGAAAAAAAAAATTCCACTACAAACCTTGAACTCAGACATTCGGTACATGGGGTTGTTACCTACGGAGGTCGTCGTGGAGTACGGACTGTGAAACACCCTGGGGGAGTTGTCAGCAGCACCCGACTGCAAACAAACAAACAAGACAACTGTGATGTCATACCAAACAACAGAACAATACAAGTAGAGAGAGACGAGAGTCAAAGCAACACTCAAAGTGCAGACGGAAGGTCGGTTTGCAAAGTTTTGCTCTCACTTCAATACAAAATAATAAGAAGCAAAGACAATGTTTAAAACTGCTGCTTTAGTAAGTAAGTTATTTTAAATCATAATTTTAATTTATATGAAGTAAACTACTGTTGAATGAGTTTATTTATTAAAAGTAGATGCACATGTACAGAAGATACTCGTCTTTGTATCATCTAAACATGTCATATTGTATTAAAGGTGCCTATATTGATTACGTGTGATGAGGATAATTGTGTCGTTGTACAATTAAGAGTTTCTCAACCTTGACTTTATTAGACATTCGAATTTTACTGTTGCAATCCTAGAATTATAGGATCTAAAAATGTGATAACAACCAAGAAGAAGTTGAGAAAGTCTTGAATTTTGTGATGAGTCAGGTCGGCCAATAAGAAACCTTAAATCTGTGTTTTGTCCAGGAGATGGTGCTGTTCAATAACTGGAAAGGAAACATTGCATTATACTAATGCTGCATACATACATTTATGGCATCATAATGATTCATATATATATTTTGGCATTAACTCTATGTCAATCACGTCATTTTTAAATGCTTTGTGAAAAGTGCCATATTTATTTATGGCTTTAATTAGATTCAGAATAAGAGTTCTTAATTTAACATGAAACCTTGAACTAATTGTTGAGGGTCTTCTATCTATAAAAGAAAAGTTAAAGACCAAACAATAGTGAAAAACTGAGATATTAACAAAGTTTGTAATAACCACACCAAACGTCTCCACTTCACATGTGACTTTGGTTTATTATTATTATTATTATTATTATTATTATGTCTGAAAAGTCAGATTTTCTCTCTTTCAGTGCAGTCAATTTGTTTCAAGACGTTTTTTTTCTGGAAAATCACACTTTTACATTTGATTTTGCAGATTGTTTACCTTGTTTTATAGAAAATTTGACTTCCAGGTTTCAATATTAATAGTAAGATGGAGATGTTTGCAGTGCACGGGCAACAAGAGACCGTATGGCTGTATTTTGTCCAGGAGATGGCACTGTTTAATAACCGGTTCTGTGTTTCAGGAATCACAGATATGACAGACATGCGAGTCCACGGTCCGCCTCACCTACCTTGTCAGGCATAGTATCCCAGTCCCGCGAGGCCAGGGACTCCAGGGACCCTCGGTAGTTGTTCGACCCCAGCCGGTTGGTCTCCCATTGGGGCAGCCTGGGGCCGTTCTCCCCTGGCGTCCCGCCGCCTCCAAAACCATCTGCATCCCTGCCACTCAACCCATTGGTCCTATGCTCGTTGTTGAGGAACAGCTGATATTTGGGGTTCTGGCTGGTCGACACGGCTCGAGGTGTGGTGGGCTCCTCCTCAGACTGGCTGTCCGACTGCTTGTTCGAATCCATTTCAGACTCCTGGAGGAGAAGTGCAGAGGGCGGGGAAGAAGGGATGAAATAGATGAAATCTATTAATATATAATATATAATCTATAATAATCAGCTTTTTTTTTAGCTGCTAAGTTTTTCTTCACAAGCTAGTTGCTAACTTTGTCCTTCTGCTGATTGGTGCTGGACAGGTAGCGTACGTTGGTTTATCAATGGGATGACAACCTGTGATGGTAGTTGTCCTTATTACAGACTTGAGTCATGAATCTACTGGAACTCTAAGCTATACAACAGCCAATCAAAATGTGTGAGCAGGAGGGAAAGTTATGTTTGGGACTTGGGCTTGAGCTTGGAACTTGCAGGTCTTTGACTTGGGACAGTTTTGTGACTTGCAAACCAATGACTTTGTTCCATCCTTGCACATACTGTAGATGATATGCCACAATAAACCTAATAAACAGAGTCATAGTTCTCACCAAGCAAATGATCAGGCAGAAACAAACAGAATGCAGAAATGCACAAAAGAGTCCTGATCACTGTAATTTGTCCCAATTACTGCAATCACTCAGTAAAATCACCAGTCGTAGCGTGAAGGTTGCCGTTATTATTTTAGACCAAAGACAAAAAATGAGAACATGCTGATTTACAGGAAAAGAATCGAAGAGCAGTGAGAGTCGTGTAAGTAAGGCCGGAGAGTTTTAGGCCGTTTGATTAGTACGATTGAAGAAGGCTTCATAATCTCGCCGTGGTTTCATGCTTTCCAGTCTCGGGATTGAACACGGCGCTTTAATCATGCAAGGAGATGGGTTTAAAAAACCCTGCAGGGCCATGCTGTGGTGCGGTCCTCACGTAGAGAAGATGCAGAGCTTATCGTTTCATGCAAGGTCATCGAAATGGTCGATCGGGACTTTGCTTACCGATCCCATGCCGGAGTCGGCCACGGAGTCTCTACCAGACTCTGTGGTTTGGGTTTTGCTCCTTGGTTCTGAGTCAGTCTTCTCAGCGCTGCCTCCTACTGGACAATCTATTCTCGCAGTGATCTTATGGCTGCCATTCTGAGCCGACTGAACCACGTTCTGGGTTTCCCTGAACGGAGGGGTCACAGTGATGCTGGGAACGGCACCGTCGTCTCCGACGCTGACCATTGTGGAAGGACTCGACGCGGACTTCGGAGACTCGAGAGCTTCTGCAGGAGCGGACTTCGGGACTTGTCCCGATCCAGACGAGGGGCTCTGTGGGGAACCGGAGGAAGAGACGTGATCTGGACTGGAGAATTTACTGATCAGGTCTTTGACGCTGCCGGCTCGGTTTGTATAGCGGGACAAGCCTGGTTTCTTATGACTGGCCCTCCAGGCCTGCTCTGCCACTTCTTGATTGGTGGTCTGGTGTGGACTAAGTGGTGAGTGTGGGGAAGAAGACTCAGGCACATGCTGAAAGAAGTGAACACAATAACAAATCCCCAACAACACTGTTAGCAAGGAGTCTGAGCAGCACTTGTAGCAGGTTAGTAGTGGGTGATTTAACAGACAATACAAATTGACCAAACACTTTAGACCAGGGTGGCTATCTCTCTAGTATTACTTGGAGCTTTAGATCATTGTGGGCAAAGTTACAAATAAAATAAAGCCATTTAATATTGTGCTACTTCCTCTTTCAGACACTACACAGTCTTCCTTTAAACCTAGAAAGCAGTGAGTTCAAACAAACAACGCAATTATATTCAAAGACACCATTCCATCGCTTAGATTTGAACCTTTGAATGATTCCTTGAAAGCAGCACGTTAACGCGTTAGTCTCGTCTCCTGTCTCTACGGTGCGTAGATGTTTTTGAGCATGCATAATGACATGAAGCCCAGTGTGTGTGTGTGTGTGTGTGTGTGTTCCTATCCTCACATAAATCCCTCTTGAGAAAGTGCAACATCTGCTCGTTCATCTGAAAAATCCCCACCCCCCCCCCAAAGCGCAACATCCGACTTTCTCACACAAAAATAAAAGGACACATAAATATTTAAACAGATAAGACTCCAAAATGAAAATTAAAAAGTCAACTCACGCGCACAAAAAAAAAAAACTGGAAAAGAACAGAAATTCAATCTTTTTTTTTTTTTTTTTTGCCAAAAAGCCACTTGATTAAATCCAACTTTAATTAATATTATAACAAGGAGGCCGATGCCACTTAGAGAAATGAAGTGGCGAGCATCCAGGGGTTTAACTTCCGGGGCTCAAAGGGTCCAAAGCATTGAGTGGCCTTAATCCAGGGTCTCGCCCGACCGCCTCCCCCAGGGACGGAGAGCCAAGGCTGGGCTGGGAGAGGAGCCGGGGCCTGGGAGGACTGAGAGGGCTGAGGTTTAGGGATCGCTGCTAATCACCACAGTATTAAAATGTTTACAGGCCGCGCTGGGATTAGCTCTGAGCTGATGACTTTTAATGTTATTATTTTTGCTCTGTGAGCTGAGAGCGCTGAGTTTGGACTCTCTGAGCCTTGCGGAATGAGGAGATGGGGACACACACACACACACACTCAATGGTGATGAAATGTGTGTGTTCTTCTATTTCTGTCCGTGCAGTAAAATGATTGTGATATGTTTCTTAACGTTCAGGACAAGATCCCGCATACTGTAGAATCCCTGGATAGACAGACAGGGTTACAGGAGACTTCTAAGGCTGATTCATGCATTAGTCATATTTCAGTTCATATTTTTACTGGTCTTATTTTATTTTTCAGGTACTATTTTCACTATCCTTATTAGATTCTTATGTTATTTTTCATTTCTGTCTGTGTGCTATGGATATGATGGTAAAATACGCAACTCTTGTTTCTGATAAAAAAACTAATACAATTCTGTAAAAGATTCATATAAACTCTAAATGAATGATTAAATATGATGGAAATAATTCACAACGTGTTGTATTCTGAATGCCTGAATGTGTGTGGTATTGTTGATGCTACATGATTCATGTATGAATGTATAAGAAATGAAAAAAATACCAGAGAGGCACATTCCGATGTGTGTACATTCCGTACACACATCGGTCTACCCTGAACTTGTCCTTAAGACACTTCCACACGTTATTTGAATCATTTGTGTTGTTAAGCTGTTTTTTTAACAATCACTGCAAGTCATTTTCCTGAAAAATTATTTTCCTTTGTTCTAACATTTAAAACCTGCAAAAAAAATTGAATAATGGGAGTAAGGGGTGTTTTTTTAGGTGATGGAGAAACCAATTGTTCAAAAAACAAACAATCTGAACAATCACCCAGGAAGACGTGCAGACGGAGCTTGATTCAGGAAAACCAGGTCCATATTCCCCCAAGTAATGTCCACAGACACACACACACATAACTCCTCAATCCCCTGTGGCCTCTCTACATTACAGACATATGGCGTAGAGCAGTACACCATCTGACCCAGATATATGACAGCAGTGCATCCTGGGAACCAGAGTGAATGCCTCACTGATGTTATGGTGCGTTTTCTCCCAGAATAAAAAGTTCAGGCTAGTCCAGTGATGACTTGACCCACTAACATTCTGTTTTTTTTTACCCAACATGATGTTGTGTTGCTCTGATTCAGTGTTGAAAAGTGAACACACAATGTTGATTATGAGTATGAAATATCCTTTTTGTGGTTTTAGAAACAGTTCTGATCTATCTCAAGCTCCAAAAACCTTTTGTCCTACATTTCCCATCATACAACTGAACATTGTTTTTTTGTCTGGCCCTCCCTACCTGGTGAACTTTCCACACATCCTATCTGAAATGCCGCCGTCACTAAAAATGGTGCAAACCCCAAGCCCCCACTATGATGACATCACTGTGATGTCATCAGGTGAAGACATTAGACAACTGTTATCACAGGTTGAGTAGACTCCTCCTGACTGGTAGGATTAGTGGAAGGCCCCTTTAACTGTTCACTGCAGTGGCTCCATCTTCTTCATATTACACTAAGAGAAATGTAATGCGGTATGGAGGGTGTTGGACATGTTTGTGGGAGTTTACATGGGTCTCCTTGATAAGATGGGCTGGTTTACTCAGAGATCACACAGAGATTCAGCTCCTGCCCATCTGCACACCCAACAATGGAAGAGTCTTTAAGTCGGGGAACAATAAATTTGATCATCTGTCAGGACCCAACCTGCCACCTCCATTTTTAGCTAACACACTTTCAAACATTGCATTATCTCTGCCAGGCGTAAGCCTGCGGGAAGATCGTGTGTTCGTGTGTGTGTGTGTGTGTGCATCCGTCCGTCTGTCCACGGCCAATCTCGCATACTGCTGGACCCATCAGCCTAATATTGTTTTAGTGCTCATTTATGACTGTATGCTCAAGGACCTCGGTGATTCACAAGTTTTGATTAGCCCTGTTTCATTGACTGTTTTATAGCATCCCTGACTACTGACTCTTCACTCCTCACAGTGATCAACAACCGCTTCAAAAGCCAAAAGGCATTTCTGGCAATCAGCCTCTTGCCTTTTGTCGTGGCTCAATGATTGACTTCCACAGAAAAGTCTTATTTTGAACTGGAGCCTCTGTCGATGAATTCCTTAAATCGATATGTTGTGATCCACTAAAGTTAAGCACCATAAGAGATGCTTTTGATTGTCTTCGCAACCATTTTCAAATTGAGTAACAAGTTGCTTCTGTTTGGTTTCTGTCTACTTTCTTCTTCGACTGGTGGTTTTTAACTGTCCTTATTAGTCTTGTAGTTTTTCACAGTTGTCACACTTAGCTTCTTTATTTTCTTGTTTCTGGTCTTGTTTCTGCTTCTATTGCTGTTCTTTGGCTTCTGTATGTGGTTTTCTAGCTTCTCCTGGTCCTTTTTCAACCTTTTCACATTGGTTTTTAGTTTCTTCAGGCACTGTTCTGCCTTTTCATGGTTGTTGGTTGTTTTCTGGCTTGTTGGGTTGTTGTTCATCTTCTCCAGATTAGTTTCTCTCTTCTCTAGGGTGTTAATAGCTTTTTTCAATTACTTTTTAATGGGCTTCCACAGCTTCTTCTTTTGTTTTCTAGCTTTGCAGGAGATATTACCTTGCATGTTAACAGTGCTGCCTATGTGTTTCTGTGAATCTACTTCTCCCATGTCCTCAATTCAAACTGTAATTCAAGAGTCTCACATTTTCTTCTCACTTCTTCACATTCTCCTCACACGGTCTAAACTCACAGCCAGTTATTAGGCCTGTGAGACACACAAATCACCTTATCATCAAACACTAAAATAACACCTTTGTCTGTGTGACACACAGTTGCACTTAAATGCCACACACACACACACACACACACACACACACACACACACACACACAC